CCAGACATGTTGAACCACTTTCCTCCTATCTGCAGATCCCTCCTGAACTTTCTGCTCCATGCTCCCTTGATAGATTATCCCCTGCCTCCCTCATCTAAATGCTTCATTCCTCTCCCTCCCATTGGCCCATTCATTCTAACCTCACACATTAAAGGATGAATTCTCTTCTAATTGTTTATTTGTGGCTATTTTCATCTTTCACCTAAGTCAGCATTTGCTGAGAAATTTCAGTGCATGTCAAATAATCAATCAAATACCATACAAAAACACATTCTATCCCTGCCTATCACTTCCATTCTTGTTTGGATTCTCATGTTCTACCTATTGTAAGTAGACCTCACATCACTACATCAAAGCCACTCCCTTCAAAAAAAAACTTAAACAGCCAAGCCACAGTGTAATCAGCCCTTCACATCCAGCTTCCTCCCAGCCTCAGCCCCGAGTATCCCCCACCAGCTCCAAGTCTTCTTTTGCTGTCAGCCCATGTGCTCCAGGCCCCCCTCCCCTGGGAATCTACCCCATACTCACATTTCCTCATTCCCCTTAGGCCTTTTCCCCTTCTGCTGTCAGAGGGAACTGAGGCACCACATGATAAAATGTCTTTCCTAAGGTCAATGTGTATTTAGCTCTGACTGAGAAATCATTTTTCAGCATGAATAACACAACTCTTCATCATTTTACTTTGAAGCAATAGCTTAAGCAGCAGTAGGTTGTCTGGGAGCAGCCAGGAAAATGAGTTCTGGCCCCCGTGCCCCGGAATAAAGGAAGTCAGACAGCAACCCCAAAGGCAGGAGCAGAAACTCTCGCTTCCGCTATTTTCCTTTTCTATTTGGTTTCCATGGGATCTGTGTTGGGGGTGGGCAGGGATTCCAAAGGACTGATTTGTATTCTTCAGCAAAATGAACCAAATTTCAGGGTGGCGAAAAAGAGTCTTCAGAAAACTTTGGATGCCTAACATTTTCAGAAATCCAGCTCCAAGGTTAATTTTGAGAGCACTTGTTGACTGCCATTCCTACCTAAGTGCTCTTTAATAGGATTCAAAATTCCTATGCGGTTGCTTGCACCTTTCAAAAGTGTAAATGTTTCCCATTCACTTTGCAAAGACAATGGCAATGTCTTGTTTTGAACACTGAGACTAAGAAATTTCTCTCCTTCAGGGTATTTTTTGTTAATTACTTTGGTTTGTTAGAAATTGTGTGCTGTCCTGTGAGATATTATTTGCTTTCCTTTAGCTTTTAAACAGTCCTGTGACTCAGCCACCCAGCAGCCCCCTCTGAGTCATCCATATTTTCTGGGACTTATGATTAAAATTCACTAAAAAAAAAAAAAAAAACCAACTCAGAGCTAGAAATGGGCCTGGCAAGTCAGAGCTCCTAAAAACCTAAGCTTTGATAAAAAGCTATTTCTGACAGACTAAACAAAGTTGGGAAGAAGACACAGTTTATCTCTTTTGTCATCATGCCTTCCCCTTTCAAGTTCAAAACCTCAATTCCAGCACCAGTCTGAGCTACATCTTACAATTCATCTTTGCAGGACCAGTTTGCTAACAGACTTCTAAAAAGCATGGTAATTTTTCTTTACTACTCCTCAAATAGTGATACCTTCCAGATTACCTGCATTTTATGAAAGCTTTTTGGGGTTGGAATTCATGTCTGATGGCGAGCTGTGCAGCACGGTGACATGGAGTGGGGAGAAGATGGTATTGAATTTCTAAACTCACACATGCAGGGGCTGGGCCTGCCCGGGAGCATGGTGGTGGAGGGAGGGCAGTGGTGGATGCAGGCTCACTTCTTCCTTGCAGCACTGGTCTAAAGGGAGAAACATGAAGCATCTAAAACAGTCACTTTATTCATTCACTTTATTCATTTATTCACTTCCGTGCATCCATGCTTCCATCCATCCATCTTTCCATCCATCCATCCTTCCATCCATCTGTCTATCCATCCTTCCATCCATCTAGCCATCCTTCTATCCATCCATCCATCCAAAAGATATTTCATTAAGCTCCTCCTATGAACCGGTTCTATACTAAAAGTACTGCAGCAAATAAAATCGACAAAAATCCCTGCCTTCATGGAGCTTACAAATTCTAGACTAATAATAGAATATATTGACAGACTATGTAAACTAGGCAAATAGTAAACAAAATGCATGTTTCTCTTGCTTGAACTATGAGGAAAATGTAAAATTCTAGACAAGGAGGCACAAGTAGGAGTACGATTTTGTGGCAAACCCACCAGCCCCGGGTCATTTTATGGCCCATCACCTGCCTTCTCTATCAGGCACGCTTGAAAAAAAATAGATCTATGGGAAGAACTGACTTCCTCTAAAACCTAGGCAATGTTTACCCTTTTATCGCCCTTTCTTTCATTGAGCCTCAGTTTCCTCATCTGTAATATGAAATTATGATGAGGCGTCATGGAGAAGTTTAATAGAAAAAATATGTAAGAGGGCCTCCCCGGTGGCACAGCGGTTGAGCGCTGGGTTGTGAAGCTGCCCGCAGCCTCTGCAGCTCCAGTTCGATCCCCGGCCACCGGGCGAGGGTCCCACATGGCGCGCTGACCTTTCCTACCGCCCGCTGTTCCCCTCAGCGGTGTACTTCGTCACTCTGCCTGTTTTACTCGCCGCTCTGGCTCTGGTGAATTCTTTCACCTTCCGCGCTTCTGACTGTACCCAGTGCTTGTATAAATAAATAAATAAATCTTTAAAAAAAAAAAAAAAAGAGTATGTAAGAAAGCCTTAGACACGGTGTCTAGCATGGAGTATGTAAGAAATCAATTTTGAGTCACCCATCAGGCACCTAATGGGTGCCCTTTGAGCTCCCACTCCACCTCTGTCCCCTCCACCTCGGATCTTCTTCCACTTGGCACATGCTATTTCATCATTCAGAATCCTTTTTGTGTGTGTGATGTGACCTGTTGGCCCCAAATATCTTGGAAGGATCTTCAAGATTCTCTATAAAATGGCCCTAAACTACCTTCCTGGGCTATCTTCTCTGCACACCCCAAGCCCTTTCTTCTCCCACTGCCCATGTCCTTCCACTTTGCAGGGTTTTCAGTTGATTGATTGTGAGTTCCTCCAGGGCCTATTACTCAGTTCTAAAAGAAAGCAGAGCCTGGAGAGAAAAGGCCATGAACCTTCTTTTCCTTCTCTGCAGTTTTTTTAGCAACCCTCCCCACCACCCTGCACTGTACCCCAGCCGCTACTGGGTTGGTGGGAGACTTCTCATCACCTCCTCTGCAGGAGGCAGTTTGGGGAAGCCACAGGCAGGCTCTAGTGTGATCTCTATGGAACATCTCTCTTCCCCAACTCTATTCCAGAGAGACTCATTACCTCTACCCTCTGTTGTTGTTTTATCACACAGTAAAAGGCATACATTGTTAGAATAGGGTACAGCACTGGACTGAGGAGAGGTATGACAGGGCCCCTTGGCTCCTGATGGGCTCAGCTGAATGAAAAGTGCCCCTTTGATTAATATCTCTCATGCATCACAGCACAACCCGTTCCCAGGCCCACCCGATTCTGGAGTGTGCAGGACAGATGTGGAGAAAGCACTGAGCCGTGCCCATTTGCTCCTGATTGGAAAAGGGTGGGGTGTCTTTGTATGCCTCACCATTTAGACATTCTTCATGTTGCTATTTTTATCAACAGTAATCATTAAATTGGTGTCAGATGGGCCGCTCCAGTTTCTCACCCTGAGGAGGGTGATGGGACTCAGTGAGTTTTTTGCAGAAAAGAGATCTGGGTTGTGGGCCACACACCAGTGCATCTCCAGAGCCCTACCCTAAAACAAATGCCTCTAGTCCTGGACAGCGTCCCTATGGCAATCAGAGCAAGGCCATTGTCATTGCTGGTTGACCTGATTCATCTAGCAGACATATGCTGAGCCCTTTCTAAAGGCCAGACATTGAACAAGCCACTAAGAAGTCATGAAAAAAAATCTCACATCTACTGCCAGAAACTCACATTTCTCATGTGAAGTCACAGTGTCTGCTGGGCTGTGCAGGTTACAGGTGCATTGACAGGGACATCACGGAGAAAGGCTGGGTTCTGCCTGGGCTTTGGGAAAGCTTCCTGAGGTGGTAAGAGTCAGCAGGACTTTGAAGATAAGTAGAGGTAGCTGGATGAAAACATGGCAAAGGAGCCGAGGTTTTCTAAAGTGGCATGAAAAGCACTCTAGATTCATTCAAAGTTGCGTGGTGACCAGCTCTCACCAAGGGAGTCCAAGGGTATACCTGCGTGGCTCCTTGCCCCGCGAACCTGCAGAGGAGATGAGTTCCGAGCAGGAATGCCACCTGCTGACTCCAAGGGCCCTGCCCTCACTCTGGGTTTCAGAATGCTGAGGTGGGCTCAGAATTAAGGAGTGGCCTGCAATGGCCATCATGATACAGCAAGTTGAAGTTAGACATGAACCTGAGCCCTCCACCACTGTCGGATCATGGGTCTGATGATCAAGAACCGAACTCCTCAGTCAGAGGGTGGCAGGCCCCAAACTAGCCCTGGGAAAAACAGTGGGTTATTAGATGAAGACCAAGCACAGAACTCCCCAGACCCTAAACCTTTCGGTCTAGATTATATGTCTTTTAACTAAATGCCTAGAAATTCAGAGTGAAATTTAACAGAAAACTAAAATGGGGCATGACAGGGAAACAGCAAAAATGTGGTAATGAGTGATGGCAAAAAGTGCATTTGCAAATGTTCTAGGCAGCCCCCGGCTGGGCCTGCTGGTTTTCGTTTCCTCTGACCAGACATTCCAAACCCCGACTCCACGAGTCAGGTGGATGTGCAGGCCTGGCCCGGCGGGGGGCATCGGGTGTCACCAATTGGGCCTCCCCAGCAGTTAGGCAGCCAGCAGGAAGGATCTGGGCCCCTGTCCACTCAGGAGCCCCTCCACCGTGGGGCCCTTGGAGCCAGGGCTCCCTTGTGGTCTGACTCAAGTGACGATGAAATTAATGGAATCCCAAAGCTACAACTGAGACCATTTCCATGTCTCCAAACAGGGGTGAAAGAGGAAATGTCATTAGGACGCCAGGAGGCTTTTGAAATCTTCAAGCAGGACCACGCTGACAGCGTTACCGTCGAAGACAACAAACAGATTCTGAAACAGAGGTAAGTCTGGTTCAGAAAGCAGCTGGTCCTCCCAGGCTTAGCCAGGCCAGCCCAGGGGAAACTTGCTATTCTGTCCTCCCTGGTCTGCCCACCCTAACTTCTGGAAGAAAGGCATCACTCGTATGCAGTTTCACACTGAGTCACGGCCAGCCTGGTACGATTGTCTTTCACCATCTCAGCACTGTGGTTGGGCAAGAACTTGAGGGCAGGGCCTGTTTCTGACAGCACCTACTTTATACACAATCCACACATCACATTGTAAGCCTCAGCAGCCTGGGACCCTGTCCATAGTTACTGTTCCACAGACAGGGGGAAACTCTGAAGCCAAATTATCATCTTCGAATTCTAGGCCCTCAGCTATTCTAAGAGATCAGTCCTGCACTTTTTTGTAGGAAGGGGACATATGCTCATTTTGCAGCCAGAGAGGCCTTTGGTGTGATCTCCTGGTGAGAGGCAGAGCAGGCAGCAGTGTCTGCTGATGTATTGTCAAGCAAGGTTGTGTTCTGGACCCTTTAGGACCAACTTGGAGATAGATTATTTGCTTAGCTAATCTATGAATTTATATGTATATCCTCAAACTATAACAAACAGAAAGACAGCTGGATATATGGATGTAGAGCTCAAAAGAGAGTTCTAGACTATGAACTCATATGACACGTCTTGGCACATGGTAAAATTTCAAAAGCTGTTTGTTGGATTAAAATGAGATTCAAGATTGGGAGTCATATGCTTTATTTTTTTTAGATTTTCTTTTTATTTATATATTTTTTACATCATTGTTAATTTTAAACAATGTTTGCGTCCCACCCACCCCCCACCGCCCCTCTGGTGTAGTCCCCAAATAGAATTTCCTTCCCCAATGCACTCATGCACCATCACCTCAGTCCCCTGTGCTCCTCTCTCCCTCCCTCTGATCCCTCTCCCTCCTCCGCCCCTGCAGGATGTCTCTGGCTTATAATGGTCCGTCTGTTTTTGTTTTATTTTGTTTAGTTGTGTTTGTATTGTTATTATTTTGCCCCCTGAAATCTTATTTGGCTCCCCTATATTCCTCCTATAAGTGATATGCTTATAAATGACAATTCAAGAAGCCAGAGACATAGACTAGCTCTCTCGGGAGAACATGGCAGTTCAGGGACTAGAGGGTAGAACCACAGGGGAAAGCTTTAAGGGGAAGTGGAAGGGAAAAGGAGACCAGGGTGGAGGTTGAGAAGCAGCAGAAAAAGGAGGGAAGGGGAGGACTGGGAGAAGAGACTGTGCCTGGGAGCCAGGGGGCGGCATCTCCAAAAAGCCAGTGTTTCACATGCTTCAAAGAGATGCACAGGAGGGAGCTGGAAGGTGCACAGATTTGGCACCTAGAATATCATGAGTTGGGGTGTTGGGAAGGAAGGGGCAAGTGAGAAGGAATTGTGCAACTAAGGAAAGAGAGTGAATAATGTGTGCAAAAGTGTGTGACATGTGAAAACATTTTGAAAAAAAGGAGGTGGCTTAAAAAGAAGGGAAGTTGTTTTCAGAATGGAAGCAAATTGGTCAAGGCAGTCAGCCACAGAAATCAGCCAGTGCCAAGAGGAAAGAGGAAGAAGAGGGAGCCATAGGATGGAGAAAGGTTGGAAGGCAATCTGGAACTCAGGAGGAGGTGAGCCCAAAGGGGGCCTGATTAGAGAAACAAGGCAAGAGGTCAATTAAGAGGACTTCTGTTTTCTCTGTGAAAGTTAAGAGACTTGAGGATAGTGGTGAAGGCTTAATACAGTTTCCACGGGGAATGAGAATGAAGGTAGACCTTGGGGAGAAAAATAATAAGGAAAGGCAAGCAGTATGGAGCGCCCAGCTTAACCAAGGGCTTTTATACTAGGTGTGTTGTATGTGGTAGTGTGTGTGTGTGTGTGTGTGTGTGTGTGTGTGTGTGTGTGTGGTGGTGGTAATGCAGGGGTCTTAGATCACTTTAGGAATCTAGTGCAGGTTTTAGGAGTGTAGCCCACAGCTTCCACTCTGGAGCACAGTGCCATCCTTCTAAGTCAAAGATGTATATGCACCCCTGTGACCAGGTAACCCAGCAACTTCACTCCTGGGCTCTCTCCCAAGAAGTTTTCCCATAGGTTAGAAAGGGACATATATGAGAATTCTCACTGCAGCTCTGTGTGTCACCCGGGAGAGTTGAAACCTCCTGGGTTTCCATTGCACAGAGACAGACACAGAGATGTAAAATATTGGGGAAGCCCTCCAGAAAGTCAGGTGCAGCAGGTGGAAGCAATGGATGAATGTACACATACCAATAAGGTGAGGTCTTAAATAAGCACAGTGCTAAAAACACACCATGCGTGTAAATTATAAACATATGCACATAAAACCAAACAAAACTAGCCAGACAAAAAGGCACATGTTAGCATGCTTTAACCATAAAAATGGTTATCTCTGTGGAAGGGCAGAATGGGAGCAGGACATGAGACCAAAAAGGTATGAAGAAATAAAGCCCAGGAGTGGGGGAGAAAATAAAGTGAATCTATGATGGTGGAGGACTCTCCCCAGAAAAATGTACATGTGCACATCCACACAAACTTGGGTTATATAATTTTTTTTATATTTTATTTTATTTTATATAATTCTTACATAATTTTTCATATTTTTCATTTTTGCACAACGTATGCACTTTCATTTTGGTTATATTCCCCATACAATTCCCATCCCCCTTATTTTGGCCCTAATCCCTCCTTGTCCTTCCCCTCCCCCCATAGTGTGTCTCTGGTTTATAGTTACTTGTTGATTTTGATTTTTTTCTTTATTATAATTAGTCTTTTTCCTGGTCCCTTATTTAGGTTTTCTAAATTCCTGCTATGAGTGAGACCATCCAGTATTTTTCTTTTTCTTTCTGGCTTATTTCACTGAGTATGATCCCTTCCAGCTCTACTCATGTTGCTGCAAATTGCATGTGTTTATCTTTTTTGAATGCTGAGTAATATTCCATGGTGTATATGTACCACATCTTCTTGATCCAGTCATCTATTTTTGGGTATTTGGGTTGTTTCCATAGCTTAGCTATTGTAAATAGTGCTGCAATAAACATCCTCACAAACTTGAACATAAGATCCAGGGATTTCCCACACCTTCTAGTGGGGACCCAGATTGTGAGCCATGTGTGCTCAGTGTAGTCCTCTGGACACTGGAACCAGAGACTGTCTGTCTGAAGATGTCAAGCCAGCGGGCGATGGCCTCGTCCAACAGCAGCTTCCAAAGAGCCCTCAGCTGTGTCAGTTCCTGAGGCTTCAAATCTTACACTAAGGCCTCCTGGCCCTTGGATCTTATTAAAGTGATCTACAGAGCTTCTGAAAGCTCTGTAGGTCCAACGCCTGGACCTCTTCAGGTCCAACGCCTGGACCTGAGGCCCCAGATAATGTAATTTAATTAGATAGAGCCTGAGCATCCATTTTTTTCAAAGATTCCACTATTGAAAACCACTGGCTAGACAGTGTCCAGAGACCTTGAGATCCAGAGTCTTGGAGTGGGATTCCAAAAGCTCTACAGGTTGAACCAATTACCAAGTGATTCTTTTGCATACTCAAGTTTAAGAACCACTGGCTTAGGAAGAACGTAATACCTCATCTTTCTTTTTCTAGAATTGGCATGGTTCCTGGTTCTGGTTAGTACCCTTGAGTTTAGCTCTGTTTCGAGCAGGGGCTTGGTCAGGGGGCTGGCAAGGATGAGGATGTTGTGGTCTTCCGAGGCCTTCTAATACAGAGCTCACTCAACTCCAGTGCGGTGGAATTTTGACAACTCACGTGACAAATGGGCTTTGGGGTATAAAGCCGTCTAAATCACGCAGGCCGGAATGGTGATACTGGTGGTCCCATCTTCCTTGTGGCCACAGTGCACAAAGCTTTGTTCTGGCAAAAGATTTTCTCAGCAATAAATCAGTCTTTTTAAATAAAATGAAAAGTCAGGAGACCTGCCCACATTTTTTAAAGGTCTACATCTGTTTAATGTTACTGTAATACCAACCATTAAAGGAATATTTGGTACTGGGAGGTATCACCCAGAACCAACCTCTTTCTCAGAATTGAAGCTTTTGTTTGCATTCATGGGGCGTATTCAATTATTAGACGTTACATGACCATAACTGCTTAAGGCAGGGGACTAAAAATGTTTCTATATGAAAATAATTAACTGCAAGCCAGTGCTTCTACAGCAGACATCAAAATATGGCCCCACAGATGCTTATGGGGTGACTTTCACGCCATCCTGACTTTAGAAGTGGTATGACATCATCCACACATTAGCTCCCTTACCCTCTGGTGACAGTAGCACCCTGTGGACCATCCGTGGGGAGAATGGCCAGTCCTACGAATGCAGACATGGCCCTTAGGGGGTTATTTAATATCAGGATAGTATTATGACATGATTCTTCCCTAGCTCTACTTGGACTAGACATTTTATTAGAAAGCCCCCTCCCCCGTCTTAACCTCCCTCCACAACGAGGCCCCAGCACCCTTGTATCCCATTTCATTCCCTGTATCGCACATGACGAACTCGGCTGTCCAGGGGTTTAAGTATTGAGACATCACGTTGGCAATGTCCACGAAAGGGAAACTTGGGACTAATTGCCCCCACACAAGAGGTTTGGGCCAGATCTGCCTGTGGCAAGCAGTTTCCAAGCCCAAATAGAGAGACTATATAGCCCAGCATCACTTCTGATCCCCCAGAGTGCATGTATTGATTTAGAGCTGCAAGAAGGGATGGCCTATGGTACAGAAGGCACTGCTTTCTGAGTTTTCTTCCTCTTCTTACCTGTCCCATTTGCTGCCCACATGGGGAGTTTCTAGCACCTCTCAGCTCTGCATCCCAGTCTAGGGAAAGCTGTGCTCCCTGCGTGACAACAGAAACAAGATGTTGGGACATTCATAGGATGTTTGCCCTTCTCTGAACTGGAGCATGCGAGCCAGTTCTTAAGGCAGATTTTTCAGTAGGAGACAGCTACAATTCAAAATCATGACATAGTCCAGGCATGACTC